AATTAAATGTTGCATTAAGCATTAAAAACCAGAAGATTGCAAGATCATGATATCTTATCCCAAAGAAATCAATAATTTTGGTAATTGATTCAGATCTGAGAAACAAGTTCAACGTCCATTAATAAAAACTCCTTTGCAATTAGTTAATCAAATTTCCATTCAATAACTACGTGAATAGCAGAATCAATTACTCAATCCAATCCAATACTCAAAGATCAGATATTAAAATCAATTCAACACTTCCATTTCAGATCCACAATTCTTAACTATGAAGAAATTAAGCAACCATTACAAAAGGAGAAGAGAAGGAAAGAGAAGAAGAGAATAAACGAAGAAGAAGCATCTTCAAGCCAATCTTCAATCCGATTCCTCAGGATTTGAAGCTTGGTGTTCATCCCCAATCTCTCTCTCAGACTCTCTTAACACCAGAAAACAAATGGAAAGTAAAAATGAACAAAAGATCCCAAAATATCTGAGCTAATTTCTAACGTGATCACTATTTTTCATTAAAGTAACCACGCAGAGGCCTTGCTGATAATCTTCATGACTGGAACGATCACTTTTCTGCATGAAAGTAGCAACGCGGGGGTTTAATGGTTGCATGTGTTCACTTTTGTTGGCAAAAGGAGACAAGCGCAGCTTTGCAGTGATTGAAGGTTCTCTGGAACAATCACTTCTGTGAACAAAAGTGATAACGTGCAGCTTGCTTTCCTAGAGGCTTCTCTGGAACGATCACTTTTGCCAGGAAAAGTGATCACACGTGCCCTTGCTATGTTGGAGCTTCTCTAGAACGCTCACTTTCATCAGCAATACTAATCACGCACAGATTTCCTTTCACTTTGAAGCTATGGAACGATCACTTTCACCAGCAATAGTGATCACGCCCAGCTCTTGCTTCATTAACCTTGTTCCTTGATTCCAGTTTTTGCTACTTTTCTTTTATCTGTCCTTTGATCTTCCAACCTCATGAACTTAGCTCAGAATTTCTTACAAAAACATGATTGAATCATTAATTTCTGCACAAAAAATTCATAAATTATAAAACAACTATGTGTTTAGAGAAAACTTTAATCATTCTATTATTTTTATGAATTTTTCTACTTTTCCAACATGTTTTCTTTATCAAAGGTATTAAAACTAAGGTAAAATACTAGTAAAATATGGATTTATCAAAAAATATAAAAAAAACTAAGAAATACAAAAAAAAAGTAAAAGAATTAAAAAATCATTGAAATTTTCTAATTCACTAAAATGGTCATTTTCTAACTTTTTGACAAAAAAATTCGTCTATAACTTACAGATAGAAAAATTCATCAGTAATATATAGACAAAAAAATTATCTTAATATACTTGTTTTTTACAAAAATAATATAGCATAAAAACATTAAAAAAAAAACTAAGAAATTGTTTAGGTGAAAAATGATGATTTGTAAACAAATAACGCAAGAGCAATTTGGGGACTGGATTAGGTCCTCTTTGGGTTCTTTTAAGTGTGTTGTTAATCGTAACAATAAAATAGACGTCGCAAAATCAATAATTTAGCTGAAATGGTGAATGTTAAATATCTGAAACTAAATCACACGTAAAGGTTTTTACAATAATGTGCTAAACGTAAGCCAAATTACAGAAACAGACAACAGCAAACTAAACTAAAACAAGTGCAGAATGTAAAATGTTGAAAGGTAAATGTACAGAATGTAAACGTACAACTCCTAGCAATGAACAGCAACACCGCGAGTCTCTTGGTAGCTGGTGTCTGGCGCGGTGCAGGTTTTCAGCATGCAGAGGTTTTGGGTGCAGGTGTCTGGGTGCCAAAAGTCATCTCCTAGAAAGTGAAGCTTTGACGTATTTATAGGCAAGGAAAACCACCATCGTTCTCCTTTTTTTTTGCGGAAAATTCTCGATAACTGCCTTCAACTGCTGCCCATTGTCCACAACTGGCCCTGATCGTGTTGTCGATTCTGGTTTCTTTCATAACTGCTATTGCCCATGATCCTTCTTCGTATTGTTATACCTTTTTCTAGTGGTAACTGTTGGTAACCGCTTCTGAGTCTTGTAATAACTTTTGAGTCATATCATGACTCTTATGGACTTAGAATCTTTTCTTTTTTGTTTTTTATTTTTCGAGCAGTTCTGAGAGAAATCTAAGAGGCTCATTTAGCATTATAGATTTAGAATAATTTTTTTCTTGGTTTCTATTTTTCAACTAATTCTGGGAAACCTGAAAGCTCTTTTTGTTCTCATGGACTTAGAATATTTCTTCTGCTCATTCCTGTTTTTCAAGCAATTCTAGAGGGAATCTAGAGCTCAACCAGATTTGTGGACTAAGAATATTTTCTGACTACTTCCTGATTTTTGAGCAATTTTGAAGGAAATCTGGAGCTCAACCAAGTTTGTGAACTTAGAATATTTTCTAACCACTTCCTATTTTTTTAGCAATTTTGGAGAAACTCTGGAGCTCAGTCAGGTTATTTCAAGCGATTCTGAAGGAAATCTGGAGCTCAACCAGGTCTGTGGACTTAAAATATTTTCTGACCACTTCTTGTTTTCTGAGCAATTCTGTAGAAGCCCTGGAGCACAGTCAGGTTTGTGGACTTAGAATATTTTCTGACAACTTTCTGTTTTTCGAGCAATTTTGTAGAAGCTTTGGAGCTCAGTCAGGTTTGTGGACTTAGCATATTTTTTTTACCACTTCCTGTTTTTCGAGCAATTCTAGAGGAAATCTAGAACTCAACCAAGTTTGTAGACTTAGAATATTTTCTGACCACTTCCTATTTTTCGAGCAATTCTGTCTTTCAGAGACTTTAAAACCCTCAAAAACTCCTTGAAAATAACTTTCAGTCTTAGTGAACTTAGAATAATATTCTTGTCAGTCTCAATTTTTTATCAATTTTAACTATTCTCAATCCAAGGACTATAAAATCATCATAAACTCCTTAAAAAGGCCTTCAGTCTTGTAAACTTCGAATAATTTACTCTCATGTCTTTCGAGCAGTTTTTAGAGAAATCTAAAGTGTGACAAAAATAACTCAAAATGTGACCTTTTCGACAAAAATTAAGGTTCTTCTCAAAAACCTTCTAACACTTCTTGAGTTTGAATCTACTTTTCAATAAAGAATGAGACTCCTTCCTGACTTTCTAAAACTCTTCGAAATATAGTTTCTTCAATATGAAAAAATACTACTTTCTAAATATTTTCAAAACTCCTCAAAAAGTAGAATCTTCAAGATGAATTTAGGATTTAGATAATTTTTCAAGTCTTGGATTTGTTAGTGTAGAAGCCTAGGACCCATAGTCCGATAAAGTTTTTATAACTTAGAAAAAAATTTCTTTCTCCAAACAAAAATACCAAAACAAATTAAAAGAATTAGAAAATCATCGGAATTTTCTAATTCACTAAAATGGTCATTTTCTAATTTGCTAATATAATGGTCGAGATTTCATTAAATTGGCAAATCCGTGCTGGCCAATGTCATTTTCTAATTTGCTAAAACCATACCCCTCACCAACTGTTGAATACTGTCTACACTCACTCATTTAGTTTTTCATTTAATTTTGAACGACTTGGTTTGGTGGAAATGAATACTACATAAAGCAAGAAGCACTATTATAGTAAAAAGTGACCAATCCAAAGCAGCTGTTTATAATTCCCAAACGTACGCTAAGATTAAAGCCCCGTGTTCTGCTGCATGTTAAACTGGATAAGTGAAGATTAATCCCTTGTAACTTGACCACCAGGTTTCTCCTCCTATTAGCTCTACATTGTTACTATTTTGGATTCCATTCAAGAATCTATGGTGATTTGACTCATGTTTTTACAGAAGTTACAATTTATGTAGGTTAAAACAATCGTAACATACCCGAAAGAAAGAAAATAGTAAGCAATTAAAAATAAAAAAAAATTATTAAAAAATAAAATATTTATTATGTTAAAGATATTGAATATATTTAAAGTTTTTTTTAAATAAAATCTTTTATTATTAGTTACATAAATTCAACTATCTAAAGATTAAAGATAACAAAATTGGTACGTAGGTTCTACAGACAAATTGAAATAAATAAAATCAAGTTCCGAGGATAAGGACAACTTTTTGAAAGAACGGTCATTGCATCACAATTCTATAAGTTAAAAATAAGAATACTATATTCTCAAAGTGTGAGATAGATTTCGGAAAGAGAAACATCGGGAGTAGAAAATAATAATAAATGATGTGATAAATAAATAAATATACATATATATATATATATTATTTCTTGATAATAATAGAATCAAGAAACAAGAAAATACAAAATTTAGATTGATTTTGAACTAAACCAAGTTAATTAGGGAAAATTTGTGCCGGCTTGCATTTGCTTAAACATGATTTGTACTTGACATTTTTTACGATGGAACTCTAATTTTGACCCAAGAGTCAACCAAGTATTCTGCTACTTAATCCATAATTAATTTAGATAATTAAAGCGAAAGAAATAATAATCTATATTTATTAAAAAAAATTATGAGGCAATTTGAGTGAAAATAGTATAAATTCAGGAATACGAAGGAATAAATTTAGATGAGGAATGAATCAAAGCGTAACGCATAATTGAATTAGTAGAATCTGCAGAAAACTACAATAGGTTTAATTTCTGAAATAATTAAGGGATTGGAGCATAATATGTTTTATAGTTTTGAATTTTAGGAAATTAAATTGTGATATATTGGATTATAATATATTTTTATATATAAGTTATAGCATTTGAGCAGTCATATATATGAATATGTAAAATATTACTTTCATTGAATATGGAGTGAGCCACACTTTTGGTGAAGATATGATAACAAGCTAGTTTCTAAACTCGAGTATCAAGTTACCGAACTTACTAACTAACCAAACTTAATCAACCTTCATCGTAGTTGGTAAATGACGTATATTGGACTGTTCTATACCTAAAAGTACATATTGTAAATATAATACTAAGATATTTGTCACCATCAAAATTTGTTCTCCTAACTACTTCAAATGATTTAGTGATTCATGAATTTATATTTTGAAAATTTGGGCCTTTAACATGTTTCATTTCGGGTGGAAGATTTTTAATTCTTTGTAGAGGATTAGCACCCAATATTTCACAGAAGAATATTTGAACTAAACCACTACACTCCCTACTTTCCTTTGGTCAAGGAATACCAAAACCAGCACGATCTGCAGCATAAAACGCCACAAGCAAGTGTTAACAAATCCTTAAAGACCATATACACTTTCTAGTTAAGAATTGCAAAGCATAACATTATATATGTATAATCATCATATATGTAAACACTTCAATTTTTCATATCCCATTTTCATATATCACTCTCCTATGGCTCGTCCACTTCTAGTGATCCACCCTCTACCAAGCACTTCACATATTGGCCTTGCAGTTATGACCCTAATGCTGTGTGCAATTGCACTGCTTATGTGTGCTTCTCATTCACGCAAATGGCGTCAGTGGGTCTCTTGCTATGATGCCTTTGGCGAAGAACCAGTAATTGAGCTCAACAATGAACCTGTGATTAGTGGCAGTGAACCACAAGAAGAGGCTTCACTTTGGCAGAAGAACATACTGATGGGTGGAAAGTGCCAGCTCCCTGATTTTTCCGGTGTCATCATATATGATTCCAATGGCAATATAGTAAATCCTGCTAAAAATTCTCGTTCATTACTAACCTGGAAATAAGGATTTTAAGAAACCCACAACCTTCATTTGCAGAAGCAGAATATAAAATTCCATCTTTACCCCTCTATTTCTAGATGGCCACGTAGAATCTCAGTTTCGGCAGCGAGAATAGGCCGTTGCATAAAACCACCAAACAAAACCAAAGCTATGCACTGTTAATATGTAAACTGTCCCTTTTGTATCCTTACATGAAACTCCTGTACTGTAACTATAATAAACTAGTGTCCTTTGATTTTGGAAACAAAAGCATGGATCTAAAGTTCGCGATTATCTTTTTCATCCTATCTTTTTCCTGTATAAATCAAGCAATGCCTTGAAAAACTGTAAATTATACCATTTCTACAGAAAAAATTTATTAATACAAAACTGAGCCATTTATTTCCCATACAGTATAATATGAATGACCCCCAATCCATATCACAAAGATGATGAATTCCTCCCCCTAAACCCCACAACACTGAGTTTAGAATTTGTAGATTTGGTGGCACTGACCCTTTTACTTGTTTGTTCGTTCTCCAAAGAATCTTTTCTCAAGCCACTTGCACCGGAAAATTTTACAGATTTTGAAACGCTAATCCCTTTTTTCATAGATTTTACAGAGGGTGATCCTTTACCAGGCTTCATACTTGACCCGTTTTTCCTTGAACCGCCAGCAGATTTGTTCTTTACTTGTGAAACTTTAACCATTTTTTTGTTCTTTCCCTTTGGCACAGTGATTTGGGTCCTTGCAACGTCCCTTCGGCCACTTTCTTTTGTGATAGCCTCCAAACTCTCATTCTTCCTTATTGCCTCCTCTATTTTGGTAGCCAAGACCAAGTCCTTTTTAGCAACCAAACTTGTTACCTTCCCTGTAAAGGTAGAGTATTTTAATTCTTCCTAATACAGCTACAAATTTCAAACAGTCAAAGCAGCAAAGACCAATATACAAAGCTAAGATGACTCAGTCTCAGACATGAGGCAGCAGCATGGATTTGGTTTAACAATAAATATCAGAGGAAACGTGTAGAACATAAATTGATAGACATAAAGATTTGTTTCTTTTCTTTTTTAGGACTTTGGTACATGATGAGATCTTTCATACTGCAGGTAGAAATGCCATATACAGATAATCATCAAAGACCAAGACTCAGCAATCCATTTTGTTATCTTTCAATTCATAAGAAATATAAAGGTCACCATAATTTGAGTAAAAGTTTGGTTGCAAAGTGTATATGCAAAAGAACATTGATTGAAGCTTCCACTTTTACAAAAATATAAAGAATAAAATCCAACTAAAACAAGAACAGGATTATCAATTTGGTTAAACTAACAAACAGAAAATAAGAATTTGTTACCTTTTGCACCCATACGAGCAGTTCTACCTGTGCGGTGAAGGTAGTCAATCTAAAATTGAAAGGGAAAGTAATGTTTAGTAACCAATTAATATCACAGAAGGACGGTAGAAAGAAGGAAGAGGTATTCTGTGACCCAATAGGTCAATAAATACATTAATAGTATGATGCTTACAGAGTTCAAAGGGAAGTCAAACATGACAACATGATCTACATCCAAGTCCAGACCCCTAGCAGCCAAATCCGTGCAAACCAATGTAGGACAATCATCACCATCACTCTTAAACTTTCTGAGGTTTTCAACCCTGGATTCAAAAGAAAAGAAACACAAATAAGTGGGCTCAACGAGGAACAGAGATTTGAACAGCACTGGGTTCAAATGGCATCATACCCTTGGAAGTTGCCATATGCAATTTTAATGTATACAATTCCATTTTCTTTCAGTGAGATCTCTATCATTTTTCTCCTTCTTCCTCCATTTTCTTTGTTCATTAATTCTTTACATGTGAAATAAGCTATTATTACCACAAACATCTGCCTGAGTGAACTTCACATGCTACTTTTTCAGGAACTAGTATTTACTCCTATGAGCAAGCATGAGATGTACTGTTAACAATAGCACCTAAACGTGTGTTTTAACTTTTAATAGTTACAGATAAGGAAGTCTCGGTCCACAGCAGTCAACAACAAATTAGCATGACTCCTCAATCCGGGTGTTTGAGAAGTCACAATTACACTAAAGTAGCGAGTTATTCAAGATGATTGATTATATATTACACCTTGGTGATACTTACATTGGGGAAAAAATAGTAGTATACAAAAAGGTGAGGGCAAGAATTACATGGTTAAGCTGTATTATAAAGCAAGTTAGACCGCATTCCTTATGGACAAACTTTTTGGTTTTTTCTTCCCATCTAATTATGTATTATATGTCTCACTCCACAAAATAGTAGTATACAAAAAGGTGAGGGCAAGAATTATATGGTTAAGCTGTATTATAAAGCAAGTTAGACTGCATTCCTTATGGACAAACTTTTTGCTTTTTTTCTTCCCATCTAATTATGTATTATATGTCTCACTCCACATACCTATCATTCACATACAAGGCATTGCCAAAGTAAATAGTTCGTGTATAGACACAATAAACTTCAGGTGGAATTCAAGCCATCATGGATCAGAATATGAATGAACAAGTATATTATTATTGAAAAACCCCAATCTGGATCCTGCCCCAATGTGGTGCAACACCAAGAATAGGAAGAATGTACAAAAAGAAAATGGATTTCCTGGATATTAAAGAGATCCAGGCCTCTCCCAAGTCCCTACTAGAGTTCTGAATTCCCTGCCCTCTCTTTCCCTCTATCATTTATACTGTCTCTTCTATTTACAATTTTGTAACTAACAGTCTCAGCCCAACAAACTAACCAACCAAAACCAACTCCAACAAACTAATTATTCTAAGGGTTGTCTATCAACACTCCCCCCCCCCCCCCCCTCTAAAGTTTCACCTTGTCCTGAAGGTGAAAGATTGGGTAGAACTCAAGTAGGTACCAGGGACTGCCAAATGAATGTCTGCCAGGGTCCCTTTGTTTAAAGAACAAGGATGATTGTGTTATGAACCTTCATGTAGGACCTAGTCACAGGGCTAGATGTGGAAAAACCCTTCTTGCGACCTATGGTGAATGGAATTTAGAGAATAGACTCAGTCCTTGACGGAGCCTCTTCGGAGGTAATTAATTCTGAATATATTTGCATGTCCTTTATTGAATATATAGTAAGTCTTTTTCTAGACTGTTAATACAATTGAAAGAAATCTAATTGATATGGTTCTGTTGCAATTAAAAAATGAAATAAATCCTAAGTCATGATAATAATATGATTGTATCTAATAAAAGGAAACAAATCTTAAAGGATGATCTTATCAATTAAAAGAAAAAAAATCCTAAATAAAGTAAGGAGATTTTGCAAATAAAGGAAACAAATATATCTACTGCTGTGGTGCTGCATCTGTTGCTGCTGTCTTCCTTTTTTTATATTGCTGACCCACAAATACATCCACATCATCTGTTGTCAATACCAAGTATCTCCTGCTTGGCCACAAACATAATAAGTCAATAGACCCACAACCACAACAATTATCAAAACTGTAGCTAAGACTCCCACAACAACCACAGTAAGCATATCATCCAAAGTCCAAATCTGTGCCTTCACCTTTTGATGTTCTTTTTTAATCTTTTGTACCAAACCTATGTTCTCTGAAATTTCTATTTGCTTTTCTAGTAAGAGAGGCAGGTTTGGTGTCAACAATTCCAGTTTGGCCTCTTTTTGCAGTGCAACCAGAACAGTTTCTTATCCATCACTGCATTTCAGGTTCTTGATTTTCAACTCTTTATTTTGATTTTTATCTTCTTTGCTCTCTTGACCGTCTTCTTTTCTGCTTTCCTGTACCCAAGATTCTTGTTCATCATCCCCAACAGATACAAATAAATCAAGATCATATTCAGGTTAGAACCTCTTAGAGTACTGCCTTGACAAAATCGCACCATGTTGCATCTTGATCATACTTGTTAATAGCGCGCTATCGCGCTAGAGCGGTGCGGCGCGGCCAAAACAGGGAGACATTCGCGTTGCAATCACGTGATTTGGGGGAAAGAAAGAAACTCTATTATATTTTTTTATAAAACGCAACATCTAGATTATTCGTTAAGGGTAGAAAGATCATTTGGGGAAAAGAAAGAAACCCATCTTCCCCATTGTCTCCTCTCTCTGTAAAAAGACCGAGCCTCTAAGTAGCGGTTTCTCCCATTCTCAGCGGCACACCCTCCTCTGTTTTGCCGGAGAAATCAGCTTGTCCAGAGGCTCACCTGCTCCATTTTGCCAGAGGAACAAGCTTTTTTGGCGTCCCCTCTCAGGCGTATCCTCTGTTTTTTTGTTCACTCACCGAAGAAATTAGTTTTTCTGGCATCTCTGTTTTTCTGTTCACCGGAAAATTCAGATTTTCTGGCATCTGTTCACTGATTTATCATATGAAAGCATTTTTGTTTAATATAACACTCATGTTGACATGTTTTACACAACTATATATGCATATTATAAAATAGCGGTCATCTAGCTTACGCTATAGCGTTTTAGGGGTCAGCCTCTATTTGCGGCTATCCGAGATTAACAACTATGATCTTGATCGCTTGCTTTCTAGCAGTCCCACCATGTTAGTACCTACCAACCTTCCATAGCAAACCAAGCCAATGATAACTTCTCTTCTAGTATTCCTTTCTCCTGAAAATACCGTCCTACATTGATCAGCCACCAATAAGCTTCCTTACCATCAAACTTTGGAATCATCTTCAAAATTAAATACCCACAGCTCCAAGATTGAAACTCTTATACCAGTTGATAGAAATGAGATCCAAATATGAATGAAACAGTGTATTATTATTGAAAAACCCCAATCATGATCCTGCCCCAATGTGGTGCAACACCAAGAATAGGAAGAATGTACAAAAAGAAAATGGATGCCCTGGATATTCAAGAGATCAAGGCCTCTCCCAAGTCCCTACTACAGTTCTGAATCCCCTGACCTCTCTCTTTCCCTCTATTATTTTATTATCTCTTCTATCCACAATTCTGTAACCAACTAACAAGTTCTCACTAAGTGTCCCCACCCAACAAACTAACTAATTATTCTACTAACTAACTACAAAGGGGTTATCTATCACCTCATTTCATCTGTCAACTTTCATAGCTGATAATAGATAGATAGGCAGGTATGGTATTTTCAATTTTCATAACTAAGACATTGCAACTACTAACAGGTAACTAACTACAAATTAACTAACATTAAGTAAGCAGTTACTTGCAGTGCTTCCAAAGTAGAGGGTATTGTTTTCAATAGTCATATGGGAAGTCAATGTTTCATAGCATATTTATTGAAAGTCTCACCAGTACAATATATTTTACTGTTTTCACTCAATCATCTCTTTTCCATGGATGTGACTACTCTAAAGTGAGCTGTATAAGGAGAGAAAGTAAGGGTGTATCCACCACTAATTAGAATTAAAGTACCTTGTAAACTTACTTCAAATCAATGGTGTATATACCATTATTACTTTATCATTTTCACTTTAAAGTTTAGAGCAGCCAAATCCCCTTTCCATCTAAACCCCAACAGTTACAATGTGGCTGTTTTCAGCTTAATCCTGTACCACAATGATATAAAGGGGGAGAAGTACATAAGAATCTTAAATTAGTACATTACCTTTGCTCTGCTGGTACCTCCCCATGGTAGTTCACAGTAGAAATATGATTTTCACCAAGAAAATGATCCACAGCACGACTGGAATCCAACGTATTGCAGAAAACCATCACCTTGTTCCCCTTTGCCAGGCTTGGCTCTAGTACCTGTCATACATGATCACAAAACACAGTGAAAACCCAGTGAATCAAGATAACATCCAAGCCAAGCAGTGCACTATTAGTGACGGCCACTCCGCACTGCGCTGGCATGATAGCACCGCTATAGCACACTATTAACAACTATGCCAAAAATTGCTTCGTTTTTAGGGTAGAAAAGAAAAGTTGGTATCTTTCATTATGGTGGTGCTATTGCACCACAAAAGGCTGTGTTTTGGGCCATGAATACAGCCATGATGACCGCAATAGCAAAAACGCTGTGCCATGCAGACCTATGGTGGCCAAGGATCAAGATTCTCTCCCGTAACATGACCTCATGTTCTGTGTTTTATCATTTTCGCTTAAGCAAAAATACAAAAATACAGGCACATAGGGTCATGTTCACGCCAAAAAATGAGAGAATCCCAATCCGGTGGCCAAAGGCCACTCTGCCACGCACTGCTGCTATCGCGCACTATTGACAACTATGAATAAGAATATACATTTACCTAATTACCATAGTTACAAATATAAAACCTTCCCTATTTACAACATTACTATTTCATGTTTCTCACAATAATTAATACTCTCATATATCATTAGAACTCACAGCACAACCATTCCCACTGTTTTCAAGGTATATATATCTGATAAGAAATTTATTAGAGCAAAATCCAAATGTGATAAAACAAGCATCATAAGAGAATGAAACACTAACATTCTTATTGTCAACATAGTACCCCACACCCTAAACACAAAACTACAACCTAGACATATCAGCTAAAATGAAAGGAAAGCAGCTTGAATGCAATTCAATCCCAGGATCAAAGAATCCGAATGATACTTCATGCCACTTAAGCTACCCCATACCCCAACACAACCCATAAATATGAACAATTGGTTTACATGTATAAGACCAACAGCAAAATACAAAAGTATACCTGAAGTAATGCTTCTAGCTTGTTCTCAGAACCTGAAAGTTTGATAAAATCATGACGAGCAGAAGAAATCTTTTTATGCAACGATGATGTGCGCAGATGTACAACGCCTTGAAACTCTTCATCAATCAGCTTTTGCACAGCCTGCAAGACTCAAAGAAGTCAACACTGTAGAAGTTCATCGAAAATTAATGATGAGAAGAAAATGTTTGTAATAGGGAATAGGGATTATCCAAATTCAGAAAAATGAGCAAAGATGACTGCACTATACAATCCAGATATCAGGTTACACTCAAGGCAATGGATTTGATAAGAAATGATATCACAGTCTTACATCCTCATCCTGATATTCCACACCCATATCAATCCTCCATATAAATCAAAAATTCAAAATTGACAATGCAACATAGTTTCAATAACAAATAATTTAATGTCCCAATACAAAAAATATGAAAAAAATTGCAAGCTGCAAGAAAATAAACGTGCATTTATTATCATCTTTAAGCAAATATTAAAGATGATAGAGTCAATAAATAATCAATTGCTTAAGGAGAAAAGATAGAACAGTATCCAACAAGATCAATTTTATAGATTATACATGAATGCAAATCAATTTGATGGGATGCTCTATTCAAGATAAATGTTAATTCAGATATTTTCAAGTATATTATGGATTTATGACAGTAGAAATTTCAGAAGTGTTTAGAATATTTGGAACTAATTCAGATGTAGAAGCCACACAAAGCTTATGGAATCTGACTGTTCCAACACATCTACGTTAACAGAACTCAAATATTTTGAAACCAAGCCAACTAGCAAGCACTAATAAAGATACCACAGTATACCCCCAAAATGTTTTCAATATTCAGAATGTAGCAAGGAAGAAAAACAAAATACAAATGTTAATATCATATTCTGAACAATCAATAATATATCTGGAATTAAAATTATGTTGTCTATTTAAGTTATAAATAATTAGATCCATTATGTCAGCTATATTAAGCAAATGAAAGCATGTCATCCCCACAGAGAGGACGGACAAAATAGTCTTGTCTTGTTATCTAAAAGGACTTAAATATTTCTATCTCAAAAACAATAGACAATATAATTACTATAGTATGACTATGAACCTTTAAAAAGGATGCTCACATCAAAATTTTCATATGAATGTGCAGCATTTATTTTGCATTTATAGGTAAATTTTCAGAGTCTGGTGAAAACAAACAACTGAAAAAACGAGCGAGATTGTGTTCTACAAGTATTTGAAATCAATCATGGGGCCTTTGCTACAGTAGGTTGTTTTATATGTTTTGCATGCTAAAGGAATACATAAAAGAAAGGTCATATTAGCAAATTTGTCCTCTAACTTAAGGTCAAATTTGATTTCGTCCTTTAACTTTATTTTGATTCATTTTGGCCCTCTAACTTTTAAAAATGTTTCAAATAAAAATGTTAATTTTGTTAGTATTTTTTGTCTTTTTCTGCCACATGCACTGTTCATTATCTTCTTCCTTGGGCCTCCAAGCACTATTCATTATCTTCTTCCTCAAATCTCCTATGTCAGCTTTCTCCTCCACTTCTTCCTACCCTTCATCTTCCTCTTCAAATCTCTCTTCGTCTCCTCCTCTTTATTTATTCTTCCTCTTCAAAACATCACTGCATCACCCTTTGTCACTATGGTTTGTAACAGCTGAGTACAACTTCCATGCTACCCATCTCAGATCATTCTCAAGCAATTGTCCTGATTCCAAAGTACTCTTGGGATAAAGTCAATTCCATTCTTGTTCAATTGTTTGTGGCCAACTTGCACCTTGTTCTCTCTCAGCTTGGGTGCTTCAAATATGCTAATAAACTCGTCATGATGTTTAAAGGGAAGATTTATTAATGGATTGCAACCATAACCATCTAGAAACCAACATTTGAGGATGGGTTGGTGTGAAATTGGAACATCATGTTCATGCCTTTTAACTTGGGCATTAAAGATCTCAGACCATGAAGTAAAGAAATTCCAAAATTCAATGCCATAAGAAATAGCATGGTTCATGGAACAACCTATGAAAACACCATCCAATAGTTCAATAACTTGGATGGAGAAGGGTATGGTGTGACCATCAGGTTAATTGCTTTGTGGTGATCAAAGACGGATTGAACAATGGGTGGGACATCGAAAAGGGAGAGGATGTCAAAAATGGTCAAATCTAAAGTAGCATAGATGAATTTGGCTCCATAACTATTGGTACAATCAATGAAGAGGAAGATGTGGGAAGAAAGCTGAAATCAGAGCTTTGAGGAAGACAATGAGCAGTGCACAGAGGTCTAAGGAAGAATACGATGAACAATGCACAAACAGTATACGTGGTAGAAAAAGATAAAAACTATTAATGGGGTTAACGTTTTTATTGAAAAATGACTTATTTGAAACATTTTTAAATGTAAAAAAACCAAAATGAATCAAAATAAAATTAGTGGATGAAATCAAATTTGACCCCTAAGTTAGAGGATTAAAATACTAACTTAGCCTAACAAATTATAATCATGATCTCATTTTATTATAAGTAGCAGAAAAAAAGAAAAAAATACTAAAATCATTTAGGGAATAATCTTCTAAACCATCAATATTTACTTTGCAATTGCATGTAGCCAACTAGATTACAGTGCATACAAACCTTTGTCATAGTTGCAGTAACCAAGACAGTCTGAAAACCTAGGCCATCAGATTTTGAAGCGCGATTTTTTAATGGGCCCAGAAATTTGCGTATATCAGGACCAAATCCCCGATCAAACATTGTGTCTGCTTCATCCAATACCTGCAAAACAAACACCATCTACAGTGAGCAGAACTTGCAAATCATTAATGCCTAATACCTGTTCAAAATTATCAATTGTGAGATACTCACTAAGTATTTGATGTCACCATATACCATATTGCCATCTTCAATATGTTGAAGAATCCTGCCAGGGGTACCAACTACCATATCGATGGGGTTATTAAGTGAATCCTCTTGAGGCCTAAGCCGGCCACCACCACTTACCATGGTACACCTGAATCGTGCATGATGACTTATCGATTTTGCTACTCGAAAAACCTACAAAGCCCATTTCATATTAATATGGGTAATCCAACGTATATGAAGTGAACTATATAACGTAAGTGAAATGCATAAACACCTGCTCAGACAACTCCCTTGTTGGACAAAGCACAACAGCTCGGGGACGTCGGGGCTTCAACAGTATTCCATTCATTTGTTCATCCCGTCTCAGCAACTAAGGTATGCAACAAATTAACAGTGTCTCAGCTGTCTCAATAGATGGCTAGACAAGTAAGCTCAATAACAAAAGAAATGGAAGTAATGAAGGGAACTGGTTTTTCAAAAACAAGATAGACCAATCTGTAAAATGACATTTCAAACATTAAGCAATTAAATTTAACCACTTCCACGCATAATGGAAGCATGAAGTACCGCTCAAATACATTAAATGCAAAAATGTAAATCACTCTAATGTAAAAACACATGTACAGAAACTGCAAGTTCTTGTCTTGAAATTAACGCTGCTCTCACACCTAGAAAGTATTGATACAACATGCGAAACAAAAATAACGTAACAGACCACAAGAACATATACCCAATTTTAAAAATCATTACACAACCATAATACAACATACAAAATTATCACCCAACACAAATCTTAAACAAAAAAAAAAAAAAAAAGGAAACTATGTTTAAAAATTGAATACAAGTCACGGTATAAACACAATAAAATACTGTAAAAAATATCTAATTATCGTAATGCTCGCATATGTTTCGGCATAAAACTCTGAAAACAAAATTAAAAGAAAAAAAAGAAGTTATAAAATTTAGCTTGGGGTATTCGAAGTGCCCGAAATGGAAATGAATACACGGGTACGGTACGAAAATAATATTAAAAATGAACGCAGAAAAAGTACCTGAACAAGGGGAAGCAAGTAGGCGAGGGTTTTACCCGAGCCAGTATGAGACCCCAAAACCACACTATTTTCGTCCAACACAGCAGGGACACCAATACACTGTATCTCAGTGGGAACTTCAATACCCATTTCTCTAACAGCCCCCATAACCTCTTCACTCACTCCTAACTCCTCAAAACTCCCAACTAACTTCTTCTTCATAACCATCGTCTCATTATCTGCATCAGACGAAGAAACACCCTTTGCCTTCTTCTTCAGGGGCTTTTTGGGTTCCTCTGGGGCTTTGGCAGTGTCCTTGAGGTGTCTGATTCTGAGCCTCTCAAGGAGTATAGAGTGCTTCAATTGGGTAGGGTCTGTGGTTTCAGGTGCCGCGGTGACGGAGCAGAGAGGCCTGAAGCGTGGGAAAAGGCCGACGGGGTTGGAGACTGGGAAATGCCTCGCGAGGTGGGAGAGGCGTGTGAAGGAGGAAGAAGAGGAGAGCGAGAGAGTGAAGAGGGTTCTTCCTGTAGCTCCCGCCATTGATGGAGCTCTTGCTGTTGCGTTTCAGGGTTTTAGGTTCTGAGATGGCAGAGTGATCTAAGCGTATTATTGATATTTTGAAGGATAGATAGTTTCGAACCAAACAAAAGTTAGCACTACGATTACCTTCATGAGATATTTTAAATATTTTAAATTAAAATGCAGCTTGGCATTTCAAAATATATTTTTGTATTTTAAGAATTTAATGCTCAGTTGAACAATATTACGTTAAAATATAATTTTTTATTTTTGTAACTGTTGTTATTGAATTTAAATATATAAAAAATATTTTTTAAAAAATAGTTAAAATTGTTTTTTATTTATTTAAATTGTAGAATATATGAAGAAATAAAATATGGTAATAAAAGAAGGGTCAAGTTCCATTTACCTGCCTATGTATTAAGTTATATAAAATTTTAACTTTTTGAAAGTACAAAAATGATACCTATAATTATCAACATATATGAAGAAGTCCTTCCGTAATTTAGATGTCTAATTTTTTTCATTTTCTGAATAAATAATTCTATATTCTTTGTTTTTCTTTATCTTCTCCCTCACTAAAGCACAACCCAAAAATAACGATAAAAATATTCATATTTTAACTAATGCAACCCTTTAATGTTCATCATAATTGTCATACTTATCGTTGTGCTCGATTTCATGGGCTTCTTCTCCATCTATATCACCATGGTGCCAACTCTCCCTCTAACAACATTTATAACCTTGCTAGCGCAGAAAACATTCCGACAGGGGCGAGGGGTCTAAACACGATAGTGATTAAGACATTCTTCACTCTCAAATACTCAATGATGAAGATTCACAAGATTGGAAAGGGAACATTGCAGTGTGCAGTGTTCTCCTCCACGTGCTTCCATTATTTCACATTTTCTCTCTAAATAGTGTTTTGTTGTGCGCGCTATGAGCAGGGTGCATGGTTCTACTCATACATAAATTTGAGATTGGTGCATTGCTGGAACTGATGTAGCAGCATTGTGTGACGATGGCAATGGTAGTGTTGTTGCTCGTGCTGTTGTTGGCCATCAATCCCATATTAAAAGATCAAAGAAATTGGACAACTCAATAACGAATGGATTTCTTCGAATAATTTGGTAATTATAGGATGCTAGTGTTGCATAGTTTCAAAAGTTAAAATTTAAATTATTCATCACCAAATATACAGGGAGATAAAATGAACTTTTCCTTTAAAACAATAATACAATAAAAAGTGGTATTAACATAAATGAACTTCAAAGAAATCTTTGTTTAAAATTAAAATTTTAAATAAATCAAATTATCTTTAATATAATTGGAAAAATTATAGTATGCTGTGAAGAAAAAAAATATAGTGACTTTTAAATATTTGATAATAAAGATTTGATTACAATTATTTATGATAATACTTAAATTATATGTTGGTATTAAACTAGTTAATAGTTTCATCATGATAACTTAAACAAATATTACTAGTTATGAATTAGAGAAAGTATTCAAGTGCAACAATTATACGTAACCAAATTTATTTTAGGTTTTTTATTTTTGCATTAATTGCATGTTACATTTATTTATTTATGTATCATGTTGAAAAGTTGTTATGTTGGATATGTTAACCTATCAAATGATGATAATCTTAATTATAATTTGTTACATATATAGAAAATGAGTAATGATGAAGTTGAAGGTAAAATCTTGATAATAGTAAAAATGACATTGATATTAAGGATGACTTTAATTTGATTGTTAAATTAGTTAAAAATTAAGAATAAAAATAGTTTAGACCGTCCTACTGAAGTTTATGGTCTAATTTTTTTAAAGTTTAACTCAATTTAGCCTATTTAATTAATAAGTTTAACTTAGACTTTTTAATATGTTTAATTAATTAAATTGACTGCTTAAGCTTAAGAAAAAGTCTGTTAGACCTATTAGAATAGCCTATTTAAAATTCATAAAATTTATAATAATATACTAATAAAATATAAAAATTCAATTGGTTTTGTCACAATTATAATTTGACAAGAAAATCAAAGGTAATAATTTTTTAAAGTATTTTTAAAAAATATTTGTAATCACTATTTTTAAAGTAATTTTATTCTAATAATATTTTTCTTTATTTTGAAAGTTAATGAACAACATGAAGAGATCTCTTTAAAAATTTGATGACATATTTGTTGCTTCCCATTGACTATGAAAAAAATATTATTATTTGTGTATTTTAGATTTTTATTTTTTACATTTGTTAATTGTAAGTCTGAATCTTATTTAGTTATATTGTATTTGTTGATTTAATATGTAAGACTTTATGTTATTAGATTTACTTAATGATTTATAAATTGATGTTCATTTTATTGTATTTTTTGTATGTGTAGTAGTTTACTTATTTAAATTAAATATGTGGTTTAAAAGTTATAAATAAGAATATGTAATTTTATTATACATATTCAAGGTGTTGAATCATTTTTTTAATAGTTTATTTATATAAAAGCCTTATGACTTTTAAAAAGAAATACTTGTTTAGATGGTTTGATAGTCTATTCATAAGGATGCTTAATGACATATTAAATGTCTTAATACGAAGTAGACCATTAAAAAGGCTAACAGGTCAAATCAAGCTTTTAAAAAAGTTAGACTATGTGTAATAAAAAACCTATGACAGGTAATAGGTCAGGCTTAAACTTCAAAATTATTAAACAGGTCATGAAAACCCTAGCCTATATCCATCCCTATTGAGAAGACAAGTTCAAGTAATTTTGGTGGTTCAATTTCATCACCAAATTTAGTTATTGAATATTTTAGAATTCATTTTCATACTATAGATAGTAAAAATGAAATTTTCATATTACTACAAACTTATTAGAGGTAGTTAACAAAAATTCAAAGGGTATGCAATATTTACCAATAACATATTTAGTAAAGTGCATATATGGTAGGTTGGTTGAATACTTTATTCAATGTAGTGCATAAGCTACTAGTGAAAAAAAGGCATTTTACGTCAGATAAAAACAACTTTTTACATTGGCCAGAGAACCAATATAAATACAAGTGATATACTAAGTAAAGATAATTTACATTGGTTATCAGTAGAATGTAGATTTCCTACATCAATTATGCCAAAACCAATGTAAAAATTATATATATTCTACATTGGTTTGATGAATCCACATTTTATTGAATTTTTATTTGTCATTTTGATGGTTCTTAATAGAAAAGGTAAATTTAAGAAGTGTAAATAACATAAAAACATCATTTTGGTCAAATATCATAAGTTTCTTAATTCTTGGTTAATTTACATTGATTTACATAGATATAGTTTGCAATTTTGATCATTTGAATAATTGTGCATGAATTTCTAGACTTTTTCCATGGATTTTCAGCATTTGAGAAAGTTTGATATGAAAGTGATCACTTTGGATCCCATAGTGAACACTACAACAAGCTAAGTCTAGAAGGGCAAACTAAAGTGATCACTATGAACCCATAGTAACAATTACAGAGACTCAGTTTGAAGAAGTGTTGCGCATGCTTACTTTGGAACCATAGTAGACACTCTAGAGCAACCAAAGTTATCACTCTGATAGCAAAGTGACAACTCCAGAAAGGCCAAAAGCACAAGACTTGCACGTGGCTACTATAGGGTGAGAGTAACTACTATGAAGCACTGCGCGTTATCACTATGATACCAAAGTGATAACTCCAGAGAGGCCCAAATCATAGGACTTGCGCGTGGCTACTATGGAGCGATAGTGACTAGTGTGGAGCACAGCCCGTTATCACTATGAAACCATAGTAGTTACTATGGGCGAAAATTTCTGCACTATAAATAGAAATTGAGAAATTAGGGTAAAGAGTTTTTTTCATAACTTTAGATTCTTTTGCCACTTGTGGAGCATTTTGCAGAGCTCAGGATCCTTGAGTAACAGCCAAGGCCAATCTAGGGTTTGATTTATAATTTCTCTTCATTTTCCTTTAATTCTTACATTGATTATGTTGAATTTCGTTTGTTTTCATCTTGAATTTGTAAGACCCATCCTTATGGAAGGCTAAACTTTCTTGTAATTCTTAGTGAGTTCATGGATTCTTGAATTCCTGGGTATGAATGTCAATATAGTTCCCTTTCCTTCATGAATTTACATTTCCCAACTCTTTGAATTGAATTAATGGTTGAATTAGGGGGACATTGCTTAATTAACCCTAATTCGTTTTAATTTGCTTAATCCTAAGTTAATTTCTAAGGTTGCGTAATCTTGGAGAAAAGGGTTGGAGCCCATTGAATTGCTTAATTTCGTATGGAAATCTAAGGTTGATTTTCGCTTGTTAAATTAACCTAATTCTGGGAGGAGAGGAAGAATATTAAATCTTAAGAGGAATAGGGATAGAATTATATAAACAAACTAAGGATTGCACATTTTATTGATTGAACTCATTAATTTCATCACTTGCCTTTACATTAAAATTGGAATCACACAAAACCCCCTTTTAATTGCTTTCATAGTAAATGTCTACAACATGTTCAATGTATGTTACCAACCAAAGTCATTGGAGGCAACCTAGACTTGCACCCTAGACTATATAAAAAGTTTGCATATTTTGATGAGATTGGCGACAAATCTTTTTGCAAACAAAAAATCGTGTTCATCAAATTGGCGCCATTGTTGGGGACTTTGGTGTTAATTTTACATTGAACTTGTTAGTAACTCTGTTTTAGTGTTCTGTTTTTAATTTTTCTGCATTTTGTTCTGTTTTTACTGCATAATTCTACAGAATTTGAGCTTGTGTGTTGCATATTTTCGTGCCATAGTTGCAACCTCTTTCTGTTTTTGCTGTTTAGTGTTAATGCTTTATTTTACTACACTTAGATATTGGTTTTTCTGCATAATTGTCATCTAAATTTTTCTGCATTTTTGCTGTTTCATTTAGTTTACTTCTTTCCATTGTTCATAGTTAGTTTCAAGTGCATGACCAGATTGAATCCTGGCGACTTGTATCCACTTGATCCAGAGATTGACAAGACATTTCATAGTAGCATTAGTATACATAGGAATAGTTCTAAACATTTTGAGAAACCTTCATCTATCTATTAATCTCCTTATTCTTTAGAATCTGAAATTAAAAAAA